GGGAAGGCGACGCGTGTGTACGAAGGGGATAACTGGGTGGTGGTAGGGGTGCGCGCATGTGTGCGTGACGGTTACCTAGGACACCACTGGGGACAGGGGATGTACGCGAACGTGTGTGCAAGGTGCGCAGGATGCGACCGGGGACAGGGCTGTGGGCGTGCGGTAGCTGGGTGGGGCGTGTGTGCAGGACGCAACTGGGGGCAAGGGGCGCGCGTGCAAGAAACTGGGTACGAGCAGTTGGTGCCTGGGAAGCAGGAGAAGCGTGATGTGCGTGTGCGCGCACGCACGCGTGCGTGGGTGCTGAGGGTCTCCAAGGTGCCGCTGGGGCAGAGCAGCGCGTGTGGGTAGTAACCGCGGGTGTGTAGGGTGGGCACGCGGGGTCTCCAAACCACAGCGGGGCAGAGAAGGCCTGGGCTGTCCGCATGCAGGTTGTCTGGGGGGCAGCCGGAAGGGACAGATGTGGGCATCTCACGGGGGGCGGTGGGGAGCAAATCTTGCCTGTCCAAAAGGTAGTTGGAGCTGAGCGTTTGCCGAGATGGACGGGAATGTCTGTACGTGTCAGCTGCCCCTCTAGTCCCTTTGATTCCTCAAAAGCAGGAGGGAGGAAGCACCCTGTATCAGTGGCTGTTAAGGCAGCGTGTTGCCAGCTTTGCCTGCCCTGGGTCAGTGAGTCGCTCTGCACCCTGTGAAATCTGCAGACGTACGGCTGCACGTGCGCTGAATACCTGATGCTCTGTCTCCACTACAGCGTCCCGCCATAAGCCGTAGCAGGGACAGTGACTGCCGAGCCGCTGTTCTGTACAGCTTCTGCTTGAGTGAGAAACCCTCCCACCCTGACGGCTGCGCTGCGTTTCTAGTGTCTCGGCAGTTTACTGCTTTTGGATTATTCCTCGTTACCCTTCTGGCAGTGAGCTGCTTTGCCTGTTGTACATGTTTAGGATAACTCTTTAGCTTGCCTTTAGTTTTTAATGCAAGGCCTTGTGTGCACCCGTGGCTGGAGGCCTGTGCTCTGACACCAACAGGTGAGAACGGCGATGCTGCAGTAGCTTCATCTGCTTGATCTTATTTTATGCTTTAGGCGTGGTTTCTCTTGTCATTTATTCAAGTAACAGAGGGTGTTTGTAGGGAATATTTTCATGATAAGTCCTATTTATTTCAGATTTTGTTCATGTTTTCAGTCTTTGCTTTGCGCTTGAGTTCTGCACTAGTGTTCAGAAGTGTGGGACAGACTGTTGGAGGAAAACGAGAGCATTGGCTGGAGAGGAGGGCACTGCTGAAACCTGATATCAGAGACGCGTTCCTTATCTGACAGACTCCAGCTAGCTGCTGTATTTCTGCTAGTAATATCAGCTGTGAAAATGCTACTCGTACTTTTTCAACTATACTGCAGGTTTGGGGTACCTTTTGGATTTGAATGTTTCAGGCTACCAGCAGATTCAGAAAGGTAAATGGAATTGACTGCGTTCATTTTTTTTTTTCTTCCACGAATTATCTTAGTGCATTTTCTCGCCTTTGAAAGTCCACGTCCTGCGCTAGCAAATTTTAATGCTAGGTCACTGATAAGGCTGTCCCAGTGAGCACCCACTGCTTAAAAAGTGGAGCCCGGTGTAGTACTGTTCTTTCTTGGATTGTTTTGCAACTTGGAAGATAGGTAAGAAGTGGCTAGAAACGACTGCAGGTAATGCCACGGTGGCCGTGCTGAACTTTTGTAATTCTCCCAG